TTTTTCATATTTATCTCTACCCGAATTTTTTTCCCTGGAAAAGTTAAATTAAGCAAAATATCTCTGAAAAAATCATAATTCTTCATTTTTGTGGATATACATAAAAAGTGCAGTAAAATTAAAATCTTAATTTTAAAAAAACTGCCAAGTTCCAATTTCATTCAAGATTCTACACCTTGAATAAAATTCCCCCATTCTAGGATGAGTTATTTCCTGAGATGACTCCCGATTTTGATTGGTGTAAAGTTTATTTGCCCGTTTAGTCCGAAACATGTTAGCTTTCGTTTGCCGTACGTTATGTTAGAAAATATTTTCTAAACAATCTGCTAACCCGAGATGACTCTTGGTTATAGTTTAATAAAAAAATAAGTTTCGTGGAATTCATCAGTTAGGATTTGGTTTAATTTTACTAATTAAATAATTGATAGTTATTTATTAGTTGTTTATGCATAATCGCTTTATTATTATTTTTTTAAATAGAATTATTTTTTAAAGCTGTTATTAATTTTAGACTAAAATAAAATTTTACTAAATAGCAATAAAATTAAGTGATATAACTGTTTATAAACAATCAAAAAACAGTTTTATATGTAACAATTATAAATTTTATTACATTTTTACAAAGTACAATGTAACTATTTAAAGTTTTTGTACTTCATATACATAGTAAATTTTAACTATATTTGAGTTTTAAAACTCAAGTCTCATTGCTGTTTAGTAAAATCTGGAAATTCATTTAATTTTTTTCAAGTTATTGTTGTTGAAATCATGTAGATTTATTATATTAGTAACATAATCAACAGACAAAAATTGAGTGTTTTAAAATTCATTGTTTAGTGATATGTAAGTTGTAATATTATTACAACTTACATATCATTAAATCATGAATCAAAATATCTATTTTAAAACATTCAATTATTGTCTGATGATTATGACAGCTATTTTAACCATTTCACTTCACATAATTCTTACATTTGAGTTTATATTGTAAAAGGCTTGTTTATATCTCATAAAATTAGTTGTTTTATCAGATCTTATATATTTTAAAAATTTATCTCCCTAAAACAATAAAATATACTAGCAGATTAGTATTTTGGTGTTGAAATTTTTTTTTCTGAGATCTCTGTTTCAATATATATGAATATATATATATATATATATATATATATATATATATATATATATATATATATATATATATATATATATAAAATATGTGTGTGTGTGCATGTGTTTGTGTGTGTGCACGTGTTTGTGTGCATTACATTAAATAAAACTTTACAATTTGAATTTATATATATATATATATATATACATATATATATATATATATATATATATATATATATATATATATATATATATATATATATATATATATATATATATATATATATATATATATATATATATATATATAAAGAAAATCATTTATTGATTGTTTTTAATTTTAAACAGTGTTTAAAATCATCTGAAAATCATGAATTGATTGATGATTCAAAAATTTTGAAAAAAATTCAAAAAAAAAAAAAATTGATGATTAAAAAATTCAAAAAAATGATTGATGAGCAAAGATTCTGCCATATGATTCCAGATTATTCCTGGCTTCACATATTTTGAATTGAAGTGATTGATGAAGATTTATTGTGCTTTTTGATTGTAATATACTGTTAATATTTGGAATTTTTTTGTTTTGTTTTGAACTTTTGTGAAATAATAAATTTACAATTGTATTAGCTTTTTGTTTTCTCATTAATAGGATAACATTTAAAAGCAAAATCATAGTTACCGTTATATTCATTGATGCAAGTTACTATTATTTTAAGTAGTCCATCATATATTCAGGGGCCGAATTAAGGGTTTAATGTCTTTAATCATTTAAAATTCTATTTTTGGATATGGGTTCTTGGCAGTAGCGTAGCGAAGGGCCCGCAGGGCCCGCAGCCGCGGGGAGGCCCAGAGTTATTAGGAGCCCAAGGCAACAAAGAAAAAATTAAAAAAAAAGTGTCAGTACAATAAATAACATCCGTATCACTTAACATACATACAAAACATATATTTTACACAGGAAGGTAAAGGCAATGTGGGGGGGGGGGGGGGGGAAAGGGAATAGAAAAGAAGTAATTTAGGGGCCCGGATTAAATTTTTGCGGGGGAGGGGGGTCAATTTTTTGTCGCTACGCTACTGGTTCTTGGTTCTTTTTTTAACATTTTCCTTCTTTAATTTATTTTAATTTTTTAAATTTAATTTAATATTATCTTATTTAATAAAAATTTTATTTTTGCAAATAAAATTTTTTATGGACTATGTGGAGTGCTTTTTTATGAACTTTATTAATGAGTCAATCATTGTACTTTTGGCAAAACATCCTAATCAAAGCACAGTATTGAAACTTAGAGGTTAATTTATGTGTTAAATAATAAAATAGCTTGTTAATAAGATTTCATAAGATTTGCAAACGGTCACTTTTAGCAGCCTAACTTAATTCGAAGCAAAAACGTTGTTTTTACCAACCATTAAAAATCGGTAGATTTAACTGTTAATTTTTAACGGATAATGGTTTTAACTTTTATGAGTAGTTAAAGTATTTTGGGATTTACGATCATATTATGCTCGGACGATAAACAGTGTCTACTCTTGTAAATGTTTACATTAGGAGTCTTTATAAACCTGTCCAAGGCTTTTGCCACTGTTGTTCACGACATCTCGTTAAATAAACTAGTAACTTATGGTATAATAGATAAAACACTAAACTGGTTCAAAAGCTATTTAACTAATCACAACCAATATGTTTACAATGAAAACTCTGATTCTCAGATTTTAATGAATACTACATGTGGTGTTCCGCAAGGATCCAAACTTGGACCACTTCTCTTTTTAATATATATTAATGATCTTAACAAAACCTCAAACTTAACATCAATAATTTTTGCTGATGACACAAACTTGTTTTTATCTTATGAAAATGACAGATTATGACAGATCGTGATACGATCTATATGATCTTTTAGAAGTCCCTCTATTAATCTTTTATACATATTTTATTGTAAAGAATTACTATGGTAATTTAAAAAAAAAAAAACTAAGCATAGAACGAGGGCTGGTGTAGTATAAGTTTTTTACACCCACGTATTTTTTACTCCCCGGTAAAAATCGCATATAAAATTTGTACTCTCCAGTATAATTCTCAAATGAAATTTTTACTCCCATTTGGTGCCATCCATAAAGGACGTCACCATTTTTTAGCCAATTTTTGACCATCTACCCCCTTCATTTGTCACCGGTTGTCCTTTTTCCCTATACCCCTCTGAAAAAGGACGTCATAAAATCCTGACCCCCTCCCTATTTATAACTTCAAAAAAATTTATTTCATCTTGCAATGATGTTTGAATCTGCTGCTACACCTTTGAAAAATAAAATTAAAAATATTCTCATACATTATCTTCTAAAAAACACATGTTTACGTAGTTTTCTATGTTAATAAAACTAAAATAAAAAACCTATAAAGTGACGTCCTTTTCTGACAACCTCCCCCTCCCCTTGCCCTTTTTAGCTTGATCCCCTCCCCTCCCCCCCCCCATCCCTTATTTGAATGACTTTTTTTATGGATGGCTCCTTTTGAGATTTATACTCCAATAAAATATTTTGCGGCAAAATGAATTTTTGCAACCAAACGACGTCGTATTTTGTGAATATTTTAAAACGTTTTAATGACTGCGGTTTAAAAATATTTTGAAATTTTTCGAATCTAGTAATGCAGTGACATATATATTGTTAAAACTATTAAATGAGGATAATGTTAAAACTGAACTAATTATCAAAGACGTCGAATCAAGCACAAATACAATAGTAATCAACATAAAAGAAATGTAAATGCAAGAATAGCAAAATATGCAACTTTTGATATAATAAAATTAGTTGCAGAAAAATTTAGAATTGTTAGGAAACACAATGTCGCCATTGGAAGTTAATTTGCCGACTTAATGAACCCTCCCTTTCCATCGTGCCGGCTTTGTATAAAACCAATAATATCTCATTTGTGTAAGTATTCATGCCATTTCAGTAAAATAAAAAGCGCATGCTGAGTGTTAAATATCTAAGGAAGACACATAACAAATTGTTCAAATTAGACTCAATTAATGCCCTTAATTTATCATTTGATAAGATGTTCTAGAAGTTTTAAACAATTATGTATATAGTCGTGCTGATACCACGGTATATATTATGTAAAAAGAAGTTTGTTAACTGCGATCTCTGTTTTCATAGTTAAGAGTCTGTAACTTGCTTACAAAACTTTTTGGTGTCACATTCACTACAAATCCAGCACTTATCTGTAATAACTTTACCCGGAGAAATGCATTTCCTAATAAGAAATAAAAATTTACTCAAAAAATTTTAAATTAAATTTTAATTTTCCTATGCAAACAAATATATATATATATATATATATATATATATATATATATATATATATATATATATATATATATATATATATATATATATATATATATGTAACCCTCAGAATTAGAGTCGGCATTCGGCAATGCTGACCTAACTGCTTACCTGAAAGTGTTTGATGTCGGCAAAAAATTGCTGATCTTGTTTCTATGTTTGGTGGTCAGACCTTAGAATCAAATAATTTTTGCCGACCTGATGCCGACCTCAAAAAGATTGAGGTGAGCAATAATTTGCCGACCTTATTTTTCCTAATTCCGAGGCTTGTATATACATATTTGTATATACACACACACATACACAAACACATATATGTGTGTGAGTGTGTGTGTATACACTCACATATAGAGAGAAATCGAATGAGACAAATACATTTCTTTGTTTGTATAATTTACATTTTTATCATGTTATGAAAATACTTTGCATAAATCCAAGAAAGTAACTGTTATAAAAGCATAAATTAGAATAATTGGCTCATTCTTGTACAACAATATATGCTGCCATTTTACTTTTCTGGTTTATGCATTCAAACTTACAAGTGGTACCAAGTCAAACAATCTTCACACTCAATCATGTCTTCAAATTGTGGTTTGTTACAACTCAAACAACTCCAACTTTGTTTAAGATGTAGCACTATAAAAACAAATCATAGCAATGGTTTAATTATGTAAATGTAAAGGAATATTAATTAATTACGTAATTAGTAAATGGTTTAATTATTTGCTAACTTTATTAAAGGAAAATTTTTTTCAAGTAATTAAACAATAAATTCGAATGGTTACCATTTTTCTGAAGTTTTAAAAATGTGTCTGGATTAACTAAGTCTTTTACGACATTGATGTCATGTTTGATAACTTCAGCATGAAGAAGTTTTCCATCAGTCTGCAGGTCTTTGTCTGTTAAAATATGAGTTACAATTGGGTTGGAATACCCAAAATATGCTAAAACTTTTCTTTGCTCTAAATTATTAAAACGCTAAATAAGCAACACAAACTAGCAAACAAGTAATAAACCAAACATACACACACACACACACACAGATATATATATATATATACACATATATGTTTATATATATATATATATATGTTTATAAATATATATATATATACACACATATATGTTTATATATATATATATATATATTTATACACATATATGTTTATATATATATATACACATATATGTTTATATATATATATATATGTTTATATATATATATATATGTTTATATATATATATATGTTTATATATATATATATGTTTATATATATATATATATATATGTTTATATATATATATATATATATATATATACATATATATATATATATATATATATATATATATATATATATATATATATATATATATATATATATTCACAAAAATTTTTTTCTTGTTACAGGCTCTAAACATTGCTAATAGTTATCAATATTGATACTATCAAATATGAGAATGATTGTGATAGATTTAAAATG